TATGTACGTGCTCCCGGTGTCCGGATCGAAATCATATCGGCGTGTCTTGATGTTCGCAGTCCTTCGCAACGTGTTCCTGGTTTCCTGCGTGCTGCTGATGTGTTCGGCGCTGTTTCCGGTGTTGTGGCACTTGTGGATTAACGCGGGCAGCGCCAACGCTAACTTCTACTTCGCCATCACGTTGGTCTTCAACATCGCTCAGGTCCAGTACACTTTTCAAATTTTCGTCGTCTGACTTAATCCTGTAGTTTTGTCCCTATTAAAGGTACCACAAAAAAACCAAAAAAAAACAACCACTTCCTGTCACTCGTTCAGATGCTGCTGGTGTCGGACTATTTCTACGCCTTCTTGAGGCGAGAGCACCACCTGGTCCACGGACTCTACCCAAAGAAGAAAGACGGCTCCGAGGCCACGCTGGTGCTCAAATAAAACCTTCAAACGCTGGAGGGCGGAGAAGGAACGATGTCCGGATGTGACGGGCCATTCTTCAAATCATTCTCACCCATCTCCTGGCTTTTTACGGGCCTCTCAGAACGGGTGACTTTTTTTTTTTTCCTGACTTTATTTACTAAGCGTGACCGCGAATGAGGAAGTGAAATGATGTTTTTTGTTTGGATGTACTGAGAACTTAGGAAGGAATGTTAAGGCCACATTGGAGGTGACTATGCTTGAGAAATTCTCCCCCTGGCCCCCCTTCTCTGTGTTTCAAGTCTAAAGAGTGAAAGTCATTCGACAGATTGCAGCTCATCCCTGCAGACTGTTGGGGGGGGACGTACGCTGATCAAATCGCAAGGCATATTCACAGTTCGGCTTCACAAAATTCAGCCCACCGTTGCTTTTTCATGTTTGGAAGCGATCAATTATTCACCGAAAAATGAAACCATTCCATTTTTGTGCTCAAGCCAAAGCAAGAATAGAAACGATGTTGAAGTGATTTGAGCCGCATGAAGATAAAAGGAGGACTTTTCGCCATTAAGGCGAACGGCGGGACCGGACGTCCACTTCTTCTAGTTCCCGGTAGTTTGAGTCCTACCAATTGTTTGCCCGACGGCTCGGCTCAGCTCATCAATTCCGCTTCGGTGGCAAATGGAGCCATGACGTCACACGCAAGAATTTTTGAGGTTCTGAACTCACCCAATGCGACATCAAGGCTGAATTTCATGCTAATTATGTCCAAATTAGTTTGGATTGTGCTAAATGCTAAAATTGCACAAAATATCCCCTAATGTTGAGAGCCCAAGTGTCATATTGGGGAAACTTGTCTCGTGACAGCAAATCTCTATACTTGGTGGATTAAATGAATTCAGCCATCTGGAATTACCCACGGTAAAAAAAAACAAAAAAAACATTGCCAATTTATTCTGTAGTGTTTTTTTTTTTGGGTGGGGGGGTAAGTACAACCTACTCACTCGGTATTATTTTCTTTTCAGTGTGTGGCATTAATACCACTTTATGAGAGGTCATGCATATGAAGACGTATGGATGTTTTTGGGGGGGAGGGTAAAAACTTTTCTAATAAGCGTTTTGTTTACATTGAGACTGATTTGTGTGGAAGCTGCTTGTTGATTTCTACGCACTGTTTATTTTTTTAATGTCTCTTGGCCAGACGGACTGAGGAGATTGTTTTGGGATATAATTTATTTTGTACAGTAAAACAGGCGAGGTCCTCACATGGTCGTTGAGTATTTAACAAACGAAAAAAATTCCATCAACTGTTGACACACAGCAGCTAGTTTGTTACCGATTTCCTTTCTTTGTGTAATAAACACGATGCAAAGATGCTTGTGTGCGTTTGTCACTGATGTGTGGGTGGGTGTCATCCAGATCCTCGCACGCGCGCCCTTATTTGGGCGGCCTGTAGGCGATCTTCCTGCTCTTGAGTACAGCCCACCTGTGTCGTTTCATGTAGTACAGGAGTGGCACCAGGATGGCCGAGCCCATCAAGAGCTGCACCAAAAAGAAGGGGGAAAAAAAAACACCGCAAATTGTACCTTTCATTTTCATTGCGACAAGCATTTTGTGGTTCGGTGTGTGTGTGTGTGTGAGAGACCTTGAGTCCCATGCGCTTTCGCTGGTCGTGCTCGGGCTCCGCCGCCCACCTCAGAAAGGTGCACACGTCCTTGGCCACCTGGCTCATGGTGGCGGGGGTCCCTGTGGAAACACTCCCTCTTCATTTCATATCCCGACATTGGTCACCAAGCTTGTTTTTGTCATTTTATGTTCATCCAACTTGCCTCGCTTGAATCATGGGAGATTTTTACCTGTGGGAATCCTGTCATTTCTTTTCCTCTGTTGAGTAATACTTTGCCTTACTAGTCATCTAGTACGGCATACTTGAAGTTGACTTGAAGCATTTCAATTTGTTGTCCTTTACTGCATTCCTTGCTACTACGACCGCATATTTTGGGACCCCGCATCTGACTTATTTATTATTGATTGTGTTTATCTGTACATTCACCGTCTATATTTGTTTCCCTTTTATGTTTTGAGAGGCAAGAAGTCTTGCCAAGTCGAAAGTTTCCAGATTTTTTTTTTTTTGCACCTTACCGTCGTCGTATTCCAGAATCTCATTGTAGATGGGCGGCGCCATGCCGATGGCCTGTCCGGGGAAGTAGGGGTTGTAGTAGAGACCCTCCCTCACTGCCACGCCGGCGGGGGGCTCACAGTAGCCCGTCAACAGGCTGAACACGTAGTCCTCGCCGCCGTGCCTGCAAGGATTTGGAACGCAACATTCTTTCAAATTCAAGTAAGCCGCAGTGTGGGCGCTCGATGACTTGTCGCTAAATTCTACTTCGTGACATTGCGAGCGGTCTGTTCCATGACATGAAATACGAGGACTGTAATACATGACGACCGACTGGCAAAGCTCACGGAAGGCCACGGGGCAAGGTTTTGCGCACCTGGCGTTGACGATGTAGCTGAGGTCGGGCGGCAGGGCGCCGTTGTTGGCCGCGCGGGCCGCCTCCGGGTTGGCGTAGGGTTTGGGGAAGTAGTCGGAGAGCTTGCCGGGCCGGGTGAACATCTCGCCCGTCTCGTCGGGACCGTCGACCACCTCCACCTGAGGGCGGGGGGCATGATCAATCGAGGTCGTACCCGCATAGCCGCAGTTAGGCGTTTGTCAATGTGCTCATTTGTTTGAAAACAAACTGGCCTTTTTTTGGAATTTGGTAGCGCACAATGAGTTTGCGCCAGCGTGTTGTTTAAGCTCGTCGGCTAGCGAATACGAATGAGCCTCACGAGTAGCCGCTCGCTTGGTTTGTGTCGAATAATGTCGTTTCTGAACACGGCGTCCAAATGAGAGAGAATATTTCATTCCTGCGATATTTTTGGCAGCGCGATGATGAAGACGCTCACCTCCTCGGCGATGGCCTTGACTTCGTCCTCTGTGTGCGACACTCCCACCAGGTTGCGGAAGGCCAGGTACTCCATGCTGTGGCAGGCCGAGCACACCTGCTTGTACACCTGGTAGCCGCGGCGGATGCTGCGCGCACGCGCACACATGACGACAAGTCAGAAAAATTACGATTTCAAAACAAAGTGATCCGTATCCAGATACTGTACCTGGCTAAGAATCCAGGAATATTTGTTGCATTTATTTCGACATTTCCCACTAAAATGGGTTGATTTAAATGCACTGACCTTTTTGTATTTTTTTTTTTTAATCCATTTTTGTAATACAATTGTTTTGGTGAACAATCATATAACATGAATGAAATAAGCCATGAGATATGAACATTGAAAATGTTTGTTTTATGGAATAATTGTTTGACTGATTTACGGTCAACAAAACTTCTACACTTGTTTTAAACATTTAACATTTTAAAAATGTAACTTCAAAACTGTCGAATAATCCCAAATGAAACAATTTTCCCAAAACACCAAAAGTGTTCCATTTACTATCGAATAAATTTGTTTGCATTTGATTTAAACTTCCATTAAACAATTGGTGATCTTAAAAAGCAGACACTTAAATTTTTGAAAACTTATTTTAAACAATAGAAACGAGCAAAACAATGTTACATACTGAACTTTTGACAAATGGTTTTCTTTATTGTATGAACAAAAAAAAAATCATTAAAACTGCACTGGTTGATTTTTAGGTAATTACTAAATTTAGTTAGAGCACCACACTACAATTTGTCAAACTAATTGTTTTACACATACGAAAGAATAGTGAAACAGTTGAAAAACCACACGGATTTTTTTCCCAGAAACTTGTTAAAGGATTATGCTTGACTAATTTTCGAAAACATCCGAATGATCCCTCATTGTATGAATGACTACAGCGAACTATTTGCCATCCATCTGCATTTGAACATTTGCCCTAATCCCATGCATTCCTTTACAAAGTCAAAAGGAGGATGCGTGGTGTCAGGCGTGTGCAAAGGGGCCCGACCTGGCGTGGTCCAGGGACGACAGCGGCCCGCCGTGGCTCCAGGGGTAGTTGGGCGGATGGAGCTCCAGGTCGGAGGCTTTGACGGACTGGTGCAGTGCCAGGGCCAGGCCGGCGGCGCCGGCGCCTATCACGCCCAGTGTGGTCAGCGCCACCTTCTGGCTGCGAGGCAGGCTGGTGAAGGACATTTTGGCCTGGAGGCAAAACAATTCCAGACATGGATGGACTGTACATCGCGCTTAGCTACAATTTGCCACTTTTCAAAAAAAAAAAAAAAAAAAAAAGTCAGTCAAACTTTGTCCTCCCGTGGCACCTCAAATGGTGTCACTTCCTACCCTGATTTCATGAATTTTACTGCTAATGCCTCCTAATGCTAAATAAATGTATTCCTCCCGATGTATTTGAACAATTTAGTGTATGCGTGTGATGTATGTACAACAATCATTACATCAGAAGTTTTCAATTTAGCATTCATTGTCGTTTTCAAATGATGATTTTTGCTATTCGGAGATTTACCCATTTTTTCACATCGTGACTGGAATTAGATAACTCATTGATTAGAAATAATCATCATCATTAATGTATTGTCCGTTTCGCTGTTTGAAATTTGGTACATTTCCTTCGATTTTAAGAAATCAGAACATTTTAATATTTACTTACATCAGCTGTAATCGGCTATCACAGATCATGCTGGTCTCATGTAAATCATTTCACACGCATAAAAAAAAAAAACGGAAGTCCACTCGCTCCTTGAGACAATACCGGAAGACCATCGCTTCTTCAAACGCTAACCGGTTAGCATCACACACAATCAACACTGAGAACAGTCTGTGGTGTTTGGCAAGGGTCCGTCGCACGATCGGAGTACCTAGCACGCCTAAACAGCAGTTAAAGAAACACTTTAATATGCTTCCGGTATGGAAAAACGCGGACTATTAAAGGCTGACCAGGTTGCTCTTGAATATCATCGCTCCTGCCTGCATCTGGCGTTACAACGTGATGGCATTTAACTCAGAAATGATCGGCGCATTAATATATGTTTCGGCGACGCCTTACATTTTATTCATCTTAAATTGTGGAAAACTAAAGTATGTATGCGATGGCTTAACGCGGGTGACCTTGTCTGCACCGGCCGACTGCTATCCGCGTTAGCATTAGCTCGTAGCCAGGGCGTCCGTCCACGTGCGGCGACGGTTAACATTTTGTACTGAAAGCGCCGCGTGAGCGATGCTCGCAGTCCGAATCGTCTACCTTTGGCGTGGTGATGTTTTTCGGGGTGCGCAGGAGAGCTCTCCCGCTCCCCGAGAGCGCCGCGACTCGTAACGCCGCCATCTTTTCTTTCCCGTCCTACTGCCCTCTCGCTCTCTCGGCTGGCGCTGACAAGTTTTCGATTGTGTTTCCTTCCGGCGTTTCCGGTTTGAACATTCGCAACGGGAAAAGCCGTTGAACTTTTAGCAGGTGACCAAGATTTATTTTGAAGATCCCAACCACGATCTAACCAGAAGTAATGGGAATTTTTTACACAACAACTGTGCGTCGTGACACGTTACAAAACTAAGGTGAGACGACAGGAATATTTTTTTTTCCAGTCCTCTCATCCGTCAATTTCAGTTTGCTTGCACAATTTGCAACACACAGAATCTTATTGCTGCCACCTCGCATATTTAACAAATTCGGTTGTGGCTGCCACGTCACAAATAATAAGTTCAATAACACATTCGATTCGAACATGGTACGTTTTGCCATAAATCTTAAAAGGTTTTGAATGACTTGGCACCACAATATAATCAAAATGATTTTTTTAAATCGCTATCTGCCCCCATTTTATGCCTCCAATGTAGTTTTTTTTCATCTTAATTATTTCTAAACTGATCAAAGTTCCCCAGTGTGGGACAAATCAAGGTTATCTTATCTTATCTTATATTATCTTGTAGCATGGCAAAACTGGTCAGTCAGAGACCGCAGTGACCACAATGTGAAATGTTGGTGCAAATACTCTACCATGCATCTCACAATGTCGCATCATTCCAAAACATTGCATTTGTCCACAGAGAGGAATGGATAAAATAAAAATGTTCAGTGTGTGTTTTTCCTTTCATCATACAGTAACGAAATCCTGTTTTCCACCCCCCAAAAAACCTGTACTTTGTACATTAAAAAACGAAGCTTCCTTCACCCATTGCTTTCTAAAGGCAGAAAACTCCGGACGGAAGAGGATTGAGATACTCCAAAATCTTTTTCTAATCACGGAGGAGACTGTGTTTGTTTGCAGTAAACATTTTTTTTTGTTTGTTTTTGTTGCCAAACTCACAAACATTTCATGTAACCGTATACGCATCAATAGCCAGCCCCAAAGATATGCTGGTACATTCAAAACTGAAAGTCCAACCGTTGCATAAAACACCAGATGGAAAAGAAAAGGATTGAAACCAGCAATATGACTGAGTTATTGTTCATTCATTTTCCAAACTGTTTCTCCCGATGCCCTCATTTGGAGTGAGATGGGCAGAAAGTCGACCGACAAAGTGGGGAGGAAAAGCTGAGAAAATGAAAATATGTGATGAAAAAAAAATGACATGGTAAGAAGATTTGGACTTCCTTCAAACGAAAAGTTTCTTTATCATATTGGTCGTTTTTCCTTTCAAGTGATTTTGTTTTAATAATCCCGGGAGTCACTTGAGTGCAAGTTCAAAGAAAAGAACATTTTCAGATTTAAAGCTTCTATACGGAACGCTTCGGTAAGTGAAATGAGGGCACTGAATGCGCGTGCGTGGGCGCGCTTTTAAGACGCAAACAAAGGCTAATTAAAGGCCGACTTTTTTTTTGCACTTTAAATCACACGCCCACTTGATCGATACTTGCGTGTGCGACGAAAGCTCCCGAGAGAGCACTCAATTACACACACTGCAACCAATTAGTACCAATGCCGCAGACAGCTCGGTGATTGATCGTGGCGCGCGCGAGCACACACACACGCGCACACGCACACGCACGCACGCACGCACGCACACTGCTGCGTTGTGAACGCTGCTCACGATGAACATCGGCAATAAAGGAGCAAACACAACAACACAACTGAACAAACTTTGTGTTGAGTTTATGTATAATTGAAATGACTTTATTATTAGCGATAGTTACAGTTGTCATACAAGTGTAAAAAGAAGTTAACCACGGTGGCTAAAGACAAAGCCAAACACCCTTGGACATTTCCGGCACCTCCGTGGCGAGCGCAAAGGAATAACAAATGTGACGATGAGCACGAGTGACGCCGGCCATAAATAATCAATGGTGCCGGTGCTTGCTAACGCCATTAGCGTCACATCGCGGGGGATTACGCCTCATCCGCCAGATGAGTTCTCGCATTGAAAGATTGACCGGCGGCACATCCGCTCCTCAAAAACCATCGAGTTTCGACTTCAAAATGACTTCGGGCGCTGCAGCGTTTGGGAAGTGGAACATGAAAGGAAGAAAGAGGGAGTGGAAGGAAGCGACTGCAAGTAAAACGCGAGTCGGGAGACGAAGTAGTGAACAAAAGTGCCAAAAAGTGGATGAAAATATGTAAAGAGAAGTAAAGTAAGAGAATGTTCAAGTGTGTAGGAATAAGCGAAACGCAGTAAGAGTTGTAGGGTGCGAGCGTACGTTTGTGTGTACACGGGACATTTCAACTGAGGCTCATTAGCTTGAAGGCACCGGTTAGCATTTCAAGTTGCTGTGCTTGCGTGAGAAGATGAACACGCCCCCGAGACGACATGTCCCCGCTCAGCTGCTCCTCCATCTACTCTTCACCGGCGCTCCGTTGGCGTCGTTACCTCTGCCAAGGAACGCCTTTTGTCACCGTTCAATTTCCCCTTCGTTTTAGCGGCGGCGCGAAGCTAGCGGTGGACACGCCGGCGTTTGAAAGGGAACAAGTTTGTGTTGAAGGAAGGAAACGTGAAAGGAAGCTGTGAAGGAAGAGTGAACATGTTTAGATGACGGGAAGGGAGTGTTGAAGGAAGCGTCAATGTTCATCTGTGAGGAAGGAAGTGTTGAAGGAACAGGAAGTGAAAGGAAGCATTGAAGGAAGAGTCAATACATTTGAAGGATACATGAAGGAAACATGAATGAAGAAGCTGCAAGTGTTGAAGGAAACGTAATTCCAAGCTAGTCAGTGTTGAAGGACCAGGCAAGATTGAAGGGAGAGTAAAAATATGTTTCAAAGACATGAATGAAGTGCTGAAAGAACAGGAAGTGACAGAAAGTACTGAAGGCAGACTTTAAATGAGAGCATGTGTTGAAAGAAGAGGAGAAATTCAAATGACAGCAAGTCTCGACTGAAGGAAGCGAAAGTGAAGTGAAATGAGACAATCCAAGTGCTGAAGAGACAGAAAGTAAAAAAGCAAGTATTGAAGGAAGACTTCATTCACAATTAGAGGACAGCAAATAAGTTGAGTGGAAGGAAATTGACGTGAGAAAAAGGACATGAACATCGAAGAAAGACCAGTTTGCTTTCAAGTTTCGCAACCTCAGCTTGGCAAAAAAAGTGGCCGCATGTGCGTGCGTGCGTGCGTGTCCCTCGCTCGGCATCAATAAAGCAGCAGCAGATAAGTGCTGTCGTCCGCAGCCTTTCGCCTTTCACGTTCACACGCGTTCATATCCGGTCATAATGTCATCCTCATTAGCATCATTTCAGACATGCTTCCATCCGGATCCAGACAGTCATACCTGTTCACGTACATACGCATTCACACACGTTCACAGATTCATCTGCAGTCTACGCGAATGCATGTAAAAGCCCCTGAACGTGGAATGCACGTCTCTATATGGCGTATAGAGACAGTCACAAATATGAATATCCATTTGTGTCCAGTCGTTGGTGTTCGCAGACTTTTACATCCGGACATCTAATTTCATTTGGACGTTCATGGACTGTACGTATGCATAGCGTACACCCGCACGGGTTCATATGCCATTCACGTATGTTCATATACATTCATACAGATTCATGAATATTCAAAAAAAAACTAAAATAAATCACATGCATTTGTTGACATTGGCATTTCCATAAATCAGCGCACATCCGTCGATCGCCGTCTAACATTTGAGTCGCATGCCTCTCGTGTCAAATTCCCAAATAAAGATGCTCCTCGTCTTGGGCGTGTGATGCAGGCACGCGTCTCCTCCTCTTCCTCCTCCTCCTCCTCCCCATCTTCCTCGTCTCCGTCCCTCATCGTCATCATCACCACAGGACCACCCGCTGCGTCGCATCACATCACGCCGCCCGCCGTTCTTCATCGCCTCCCCGTTAAGGTGAGTTCTGTTTACTCCCGAAGCTTTGGTTTTTCGGCTCGGATTGTGAGAATGAACGTACAAAATAATCATCATAATAATCCGAATGATTAGAGTCGACTTTTGTTTTCATGAGAGGAATGACATGAGTTGAAATGAGTCCATCTAATACAAATTCAAGCACGCGGTTGGTCGCCTGGCGATTGTGCTTCTTGATTCCGGTTGTTGTGGTTTCCGTTTTGATGAGGAAAAAGAGCACTTCATAATATCGCATCCTATTTTGTGAGACCGCGCTGTCAGGATGATGAAATAAATCAGAAAAAAACAACTCAACCGTTCGTGTGACATCGCCGCCTCGATGGATTGGCCAATTTCGCTCCTTCTGTTGTGGCCACTTGGGGGCAATATAAGAGACCGGAGTGACAGCTTGTTTCTTGAGCCTTTGCAACGGTTGAGGCTCATCAGTACCGCACTAATATTCGCCATTCTTCAGAGAGCAAGAAGAAGAGGTGACAGGGACTATTGTTTTTGATGGACCGAGAAGTGTTGGTCCACTTCAAGCCGTTGCTCTAACGCCGAAGGCGCCGCAACATTGACGCCATTTAGCTTTAGCATTACGCTAGCGGACTGAAAGCCGAAACCGCGTGGTTCTTAAATCCACAACGCGTCATTCAAATCTTCATTTGAAATCGACAATAACATTTACGGGATCTCCTTTGCTTCTTCTACGTCTCTGTGCTTCAAGTTGTTTGATCTTTTGGGTTTAAATTGGACCAAAAAGAGCGTAACTTGCGTGAAGGTTTTTGTTCCCCTCCTTTTTTTTTTTTTTTTTAAATCGACAACGACTTGTATCAATAAGATGACTCGATAAAGGAATTAGAATTGTCAAATTCTTCTTGATGTATTTGTTGAGCAGCAGAATGTGACAAGCCGCCCCCCCCCCCCAACCCGATGTGCTCCGCGTCTGATGTTGAAAGTGCGTCGCGAGTGATTGGGCTGAAAGCCTCTAATGGCTGCGCAAATCAAAGGGACATTTTCACCGATGTCCTTTAAAGCGCATTTTGTCTTTAATGTCTCAGCCGTGACAGGAAAGTCTTTGTTGATTCTCTTGACCTCCCGATTCCATTGCGCTGGTGTTTTCAAAACGCTTGCTCGTGTTTGTTCTTGCACTACCCGGGAGCGTGCGCCGTGTTGCAACAAACACCAAGCTTTCTCACATTTTTGTCTTTTTTTTGTTTCCCTATTTCATTTGGAACACCGAGACTGTACAAATAAAAAATAAGATATTTCGAAAAGTATGATTCAATAACTCAGTCAATCCACAGATGTGGATGTCAGATTTACAAATCGGCCAATGTCAAAAAAAATGACCCGCTCTCTTTGATGACGCAACGTCCGTGCCGCTTGAACCGACGCGCCGGTTTGGAGGTGTCCTGAAAAGGGAAGATTTTGCACGTTTGAGGACTCAGCCCGACGTGAGTAATTTACGGAGCCATTTTTACAAACTTTGAACTATTTGACTTTTTCTTTGCCTTGTTGTTGTTCTTTTGCAACAGAACTGAGAACACGATGATGTCCGATGTTGCGACGTCGGCGATCACGCACTGGTTTCTTTTTGTCTCAGCACAAATACCTTTTTTAAAAAAAAAACGGTCATTTTATGAATGGAGTCGGGCTGCAAATGCAATCAGTGCCATTGAGGAGCCGCCCAATCCAAAAAAAACAACAACATTAAGGATAGTGAGGAATTCTTTCGGCATTGCGTTTGATTTTCTGCAGCCGGTCTCGCCATCGTCATCATCCTCCTCATCAACATCATGTCGCTGCCGGTCCCGACCAGCAACGTGACCAACAAGCGAGACGCCAAGTCCATCAAGTCGCGCGTGTTCATCGGCAACCTGAACACGACGCTGGTGAGCAAGCGCGACGTGGAGTCCGTCTTCTCCGAGTACGGCCGCGTGACGGGCTGCTCCGTGCACAAGGGCTACGCCTTCGTGCAGTACGCCAACCGGGGCCACGCCCTCGCCGCCGTCGCCGGCCACGACGGACGCGTCCTGGCCGGCCAAACTCTCGGTGAGTGGACTGTTTCCCAACACCGGCCGATAATTCCACATTCAGACATCTCTCCGAAAAATCACGGCATCGATTTTAGCGTCTGCTGTTGCGTGAATGCCAAACGGCTGCCTCACCCTGGCACTCCAGTTCACAGATCCCTCTGGTGTGTTGCAACAACATCTTCTCCTCTGCCACCATAGAACAGGAACCGTCATTCTTAGGGCTGCTCTGCCGTCAGAAGGAATCCATTCGCATTGCGGCCAAATTGGAATAACGTAACGCGTGCACAGAACGCTCCTTCGTGACATCAAGAAAAGGTGCTGCGACGGCGCCAATTTGAACCGGCGTCCCCTCGTGCTCTTTTGCAGACATCAACATGGCCGGAGAGCCCAAAGTCAAAGCAGATAAAGCCACCAAGCGACCGATCGCTCCACACTACCACCTAGGCTGCCATCACTTGAACCAAGACTTGTACGACAGGTGAGACCATTTGACCCGTTACTATTATCCGCCCAATCACAATGCGGTGTACAGTGTTGAACGCTTTCGGGGACACCAATCGCAGCTTACCACGTTATCGGGCTACAGTGTGCCTGAAAGGGTTCAAAAGTAAATTGAATCATGTCCTCTCTCGACATCTCATATCTCTTCTCCTATCCATATGTCATGTCATTGAGCTCATACTACATCGGACCGTGTCAGTCGACGTATCAATCACGTCTTCTGTAAAGTCTTTCTGCGTCCAGGTTGTTTGACTTCCACCGTCGGGCGTCACCACTCACCTCCGGCGTGGTGCCCGTCAAGTGGCCGCGCGTGTCGCCCCCTGTCGTCCGGAGGCTGTCGTCTCTTCCTGCTCAACTCTTGCCGCAGGACTGCGACGCCCTCCGTGCCGGAGCAACAGGTGGCGCTACAACTCACGTCGCCAAAAGCCCTTGCAACCAATCGCGAGTCTTTTCATGTCGCGCGTGTGTGTGCGTGTGTGTGTGTGTGTGTGTGTGTGTGTGTGTGTGTGTGCGCGCGCGCAACAGAGGGAGTGGTTCCACTGCAGGTCATCAAGTCGCAGTTGACGCAAATAAAAGCAAACATTGATGCTCTGCTGGGCCGCCTGGAGCACATCACGCAACACGCACGCGCCACAGATACAGGTGACATGGACAACACACACACACACACGCACACACACACACACACACACACACTGTCGCGCGACAGGTCTCTCCATCTCTTTCACAAACTTTGACACAAGGAAGCAAATATATACACAAGTATATTTTTTGGCTGTAATTCTGCTTTTGACCACAGGAGGCTGCTATAAATCGCTCTTGTTCGTTGCAGCTGCACCAATTTTCTTTGAGCGGATCAAAGTGACTTTCAACTCCAAATGTTCGAATCACACCAGACGTTATTTCCCCAACAGATGACCGAAAACACGCAGCGGAGCAACAACTGCGCGTTAAACATCAATGACTTTGTCATTTTATAAAGCTAATTATTCATTTTATGGATGAGGGAGTCATAAAGCTTGTTTTTCCGACTTGACCGCAACAACATGTGAGCCACATTGTGTGTGTGTGTGTGTGTGTGTGTGTGTGTGTGTGAAGGTCAGCAAGGAAAGGATGCCCGATTTTTGAAAAGCTACTTTTTCTACGCCGTCATCTCTCAAGAATCAGAAAAATGAATGTGTGGCCTTTTAGTGCAAGAAGAGCGGACGAGGTCACGGCAACGAGGCGGCAACGAGGCCCACGAGGAAGAAGAACGGGAAGGCGAGAAGGAGGAAGGCCGCGGCGAAGGCAAGGACGACCGCGACCGCGCTCTGACGGAATGTGTCGTCGTGGATCAGCTCGCCAACAGAAAATTGGTGGTTTGACCCGCCCTCTCCTTCTCCCAAGTGTTGATTTGTTTGTGTAAATAAAGTTTCCAACTAAAATGTATTGTGTTTCCATTCCAAGAAAACAAAAAGTGCAATCATCGCCTTGGGGATGACCGCCTCTTAACAAGTTTCAATCCCGTGTCGATGCCCGTACACAAAATGAATTGATTCAACTTGACATGAAAATTTGAATCCACTGCAACAATTCTTCCTCGAGTTGAATGAAATGCCGGTGGATGATGCTGTTTTTCGTTTTGTTTTTGCGGTCGTCCCAATCTGCGGTGCGATCTCAATGCAACACATGTTCGCACTCGATCGTGTGATCCTCCACTTGCGCGCACCATTTCTCGAATCACTTGGTGTTGCTTTCTTATCTTCTCTTGGTCTTCACCCGTCATCCCGCCGCATTTTTCCCTCCCTCTCCCTCTTTCTCTTGTGTACTTTAAACGCCCATTTCCTGTGTGAGGAAAGAAAACGGGCTGGAAATGTGTTCCAGCTGGAAACCGTCTCCTCTCAAGCGCTGGTGGAACATAACCCAGGAGCAGCGTGACAGCGGAGGTGGTGTGCTGGTGACAACAAATCAAATCAAATAAAACCTTCATCAACTGGAATAATCAGGGGGCGCCGCAGGGTGTTTCTTTATGAATTGCTTTGAAAGATTCGTTTTCATGAGCGCGTGGTGGGAGAAAGGGCGTACGGACGAATTCCAGCCATATTTGTTCAAAATGGAGATGACTTCTATCATCATTCACAAATCCAAAATGTATTCAAATCATGAAAAAATCCCGAGTTGCTTCTACGCATCTCTCCAAAAAAAGACGACCCAAGAACGAGGCGATCCACGAGGAATGTCCTCGTCCGCAGCGGCCAGTGAATTAAACTTGCTTTGGTTGTTTTTGTGGGTGCGCGCAAACAAGAGGGGGGGGGGGGGGCGCTCATGGACAGACATCCAACATATGATGTTGCAAACACTTTTATTCAGACACGATTTGCTTCAGACCGTCATAAGCTGCGCGGATGCATGCTAACTTGATGGCAGGATGCTGCAGCCCATGTTAAAGTCAAGTGCTTTCATGCTGTCGACTTAAGGCAAGCTCGGGAACTCGAGGAGGGGCCTCGGGGATGGGGGTGCGGGGGGTCAGGTCAGGTCATCGGGTACCTTCAGCATTGAGGGTTTCCCATGCGGCAGTAACACACGGTCCTGAAGATGCGGCAGTGGCACAAAGCGCAGAAATCGCAGCACACCTTTCCCTCGGATTTGCAGCTGCCCCACAACGGGACGCAGCCGGCGGGGGGCGGGGGGCGGCGCCTGCGCCCAAGCTTGTTCTGAGGAGCGAGTTTGCACGAGCGTCAGAAAAACGCAACGCGGCGGCGAGACCGTTCGGGTAATGTGCAGTGACGTCAGTGGCGATTGCTTTCAACACAAACGAGCGTGCTCGGCGAGTCTCACACACACAAACACACACACAATCTAATTAATCATCAATGCCCCCAAAAATTGACAACCGCCCCTCCTACACACACACACACACACACACACACACACACACACACACCTTTTTTGCCTTCTTTTTCCTTCCTGATTTTGGCAGTTCTGGAGGAAAGAAAACACAGAGTAATATCTCGTTTTGTTTTTTGAAATTGTTTTTTGTGTCTATAGTTATTATTGTGTCCATTGTCATAGTTATGGTCGTGTATTCATTCACGTTGTGGCCGTTCTTGTCAAGTGAACAATGACGAGCAACTTGCCCACAATGAGGACGGGTGCGGACAATCCTCCAGCGTTGGCGTCGCGGTTGCCCTCCGGGATTGTGTTGGAGATGGCGGCCTTGTTGCCGCGCGCCGTGTCGTCGGGCAACATGTGGGCAGTGCCCAGTGAGTAGTGCGAAGCGGTGAACACAAAGCTGGCCAGCAGCAACACAGCACGCATCCTCGTGGTGCTTTTCATCTTTCTGCAGAAAAAAAGAGACCCCCCCCAAAAAAAAAGTGCTTAAGTCGCCATTAAGGTGACAAGAAACAACAAAAGCATGAGAAATGTTGAACAAAATAAGAGAAAACATTCATCATTGTTTGCCTTTCACTCCAGATTGGAAGAACACCCCCCCCCCCAAAAAAAAACGTTTATTTTAGGTGACTGACACCATAAGACAATCAACCGCTCATGCACCCGCATGCACACACATAGGGGAGGAACATGTGTCAAGGTCACAGCGCCTAGAAGGGCCTGCTTCTCATTTGCAAATCACTTTTAGGAGCTTCAATCACCCTCTAAATCTCCCCCCCCCCACCCCCCCACTCCCACAAAAAAGACCCAAACGTGCCCGCTTTCCCATTCAATTAGAAATGCTCTGCTCCCGAGACGCGACTGTGTCTACTTTCCCGCTTTCAAAACACACACACACACACACACACACACACACACACACACACACACACACACACACACACACACGCACGCTCTTAGGTTTTTTTTGTGTTTTTTTTTTAAATAATAAATTGACAAAAGGGAAAAAATGAACACAGTATATTCCACTTGTGCTTGCATGTGAAGACTTTTTGGATAGTTGTTTCCTTGATTACACCTCTTTTATTTTTCCAGTAAACAGAGACTGGGTCCCATATCGTGTGTTTCCCAGTGATACGCCATTTCCCAGTAAATCCATCCTGGCGAAAATACTTCTGACTGTGACACATTGACGGTTTGTATTCCAGATCCAATTGAGCATTTGTTGTTTTTCCAGATGGGAACAGAAGATATTTTTCCAACCTCCGGGGATGTTTGCTGCTCACAATGTTTTTAGCCTGCTGTGAAGAAAAAAAACCCACAAATGGCAAAATTTCTTGAATGATCCTGTTTGGAGAAAGAAAACCAACACAGAGAAATGTTTTTGAATTTTACTAGCGCTGAATCAGTGGGGCGGGGTGTGTGTATAAAAATCATTCGCTTTTGGTGTTGTGTGAACAAAATCTGAGATAAAGGGGAAGTCGAAATCAAGTCAAAAGTTTTTTTGACATTAATATATTCTATGTGGCTCCACTCGTCTGAAGGCGGTATTCTGATGAGAATGGCGTTTGAGAATAGGAATGAAGCAGCAAATTGCGGCCGTTTTGATTTTTCACAGGGGGCGGCCATTTTGTCTTGTACGACCACTTGTTGTCGACTGAAAATGACATCCCAGCGCCGGGCGGACTAGTCCGGCCAAGGTCACATGATCAAACCGAGAACACAGGTGAGCCGTGATTGGTCGTGACCTGAGCCCGCCCGGCATTGTGATGTCATTTTTTAGTCGACAGCAAATGGCAAAATGGCCGCCCTCTGAGATGATTCAAATCGGCTACGTTTTGCTGCTTCACCCATATTTCACAAACACAATATTCATCGTGTTTAAAACTAGTGCGGCCACATAAAACATATTCTTGTCAAGACAATTATTGGCTTGGCTTCAACAGCAGAGGGCGATATTGCTTCAACATGCTCGTTCCACCAACGAAATATTAATCAGAATACAAGTGTGGGCACATGCAATGGATTCTTGCAAAAAGTCCTTTGGAATTTAGCTTCACTTGTAGACCAGTCCATTTATATCTGTACTTCATATGTTTATTGTTGTATTAAGGGGGGAATAAAAAGAAAATAAATACATTTTTTTTGAGATTTTCAAAAATATATTAATGGCCAATTAATTGGTTATCAAAATTTTATTCTTTCAAATATCAGAATCAGCATCAGGCTAAAAACAAATTTAAAATTGAAATAATGTAAATCGGGCTGAAGTTATGATTATTTTATACTTAGCAATTATAGTATTCATTTATAAATATCAATATGTCGCATTTTGTTTCGATATAAATCTGCCTGTGTCCACACCTTCAAATGATCAAGACTACAACATTCCTGGGACATCACAATTGTCCTACCACTATTTTTAGAACAGGCCCGCATGCTACTCGTGTGGCCCCTTGAGGGCACGACCTTACTGAGCCGTGCCTTTGAGGGAAATTTCCCGTGGGACAGCTGATGATGATGATGATGAGTCCCACTGCTTGTCAAATCATTGCTAAAATGAATGCAATAACAACAGTAATTGAAATTTTAAGACAAAAATTAATCACAGTGTGGGACCAGATGGGAGGATGTCAAAGTTGACCACAGATCAAGAATTTAATGACTTCCAAGTCTGAGAAATGCGATGCGGCGGCAAGCCACCGCAAGCACGTGAATTACGAGCAAGCCTGGATCTCATCAAGCGCCACTTCTCAAACTTGCACTCCTCCAGCACGCCTGGTGGGGGGGGGGGGTGCAAATTCAATATTCTATATATATTTGGGGACCCAACCTTATGACATTAGCATACCTTTGGAATCGAGAAGTCAATATCACATGACGGCGTCTTTGACCTTTTCCCCCAGGTCAACATTTTTTTCAACGTTTCAATTTTCTCTTGCAATTTCCTTGAAGAAAACATTGGTTCACAACCTGGAACATCACATGAATCACAGGTCCAAAGTTGGAGAAAGAATTTGAGGAATGGGTGAAGAGCAAAAGATGTTTGTTTTTTTTCCCCCATGTTGTATACTGCCCAAGTTAGAGAGTAAAAGCCTCTTTTCCAGAATAAAAGAGAGAATAATACGCTGACAAATTTGCATTTTATTCAGTTCACTTGTTATATTTTTTTGATATTTTCTACTTTCGTTGAGATAAAATCCAGCTTTGCCTTTGAAATGATTAAAAAAAAAAATACAACTATTTCCAGATGACAACTTTCTCCCCCACAAAAAAACATTTGCTGCTATAACATCGCAACTTGGTTCTTTAGAAATGAATTCCTCTGGCATTTTATAACATTCAGACTATTAAAGAAAAAGACTTTATTTTTAACTTGATTTCAAAATACATCTTTGTATGTGTCAACATAATTTTCTTTTTAATCTTGCAACAAAAAAAAAACCCAACAACTTTATGATTTATTACGTTTGGAAGGCCGACAATTAACAAATTTGTTTTCATGGACTTTTCTCTCGAAAATAATTCCCAAGGCATTTTGGGCTGCAATCGGTCGCCATAAACGACACTGCAGTATAAACGATTACGTGGGAACATTTCTTTCTGCCTCCCTCCCTAAAGTTGAGAATCCCCGGTCGTGGGGCCCGGGCTAAAAACCTTAATTCCAGATTATCCCCTCGATGATTCAAAAACCAGCGTCGAGCTCAAAGGCTGACTGACATGTGGGCAATCAAGATTTCAAAGAAGCGTGTTCCACTTTTGGTTCCAAAAATTATTTTCCTTCTATTGGCACGTGTGCCAATCCACCATTTTATGCTCAATTGTTTCTGACTAATGTGATTTACGTGGAAATTAGTTCCATACGATGCAACCGAGATGATGAGAATATGACCGCAGTAAAAATATCACCCGATGCAACGTCAATATAATCCAACAAAAGTGCACAGAACATAAAATAGGATGTGCAAAAACAGTGCTAAAGTTGAAATAAATACGGCGCCGTAGTGCAAAATAAATTCAATTGTTGTGAAATACGACGACAAATATCGAGAATTGTAAATCTCTTGTGCTCCATTAACGGTCAATAGACCACTCCATTTTTGAAATTAGGATGTACATAAATATCATACAAAGGCAGGGATGGGAATTGAAAAGATTTTTCCACTTCCCATTCCATTATCCAATCTGTTTCATGATTCAATTCTTTATCGGTTCTCCTATCGATACTTTCTGGGGGCGGAGGGGCAAACAAAAATCAGTAAACAAGATACATTTTGAGAAATAACACGGCCTTGTGTGGTCTTAAGAGGTCCTTATCCTACGACTCTTTGATGGAGTGATGTGGGGTCCCCAGGAAAAAATATATATATATATATATATATATATATATTAGAGCTGTCAAACGATTAAAATATTTAATCTAATTAAAAATGCAACTGTCATAATTAACTCAAATTCACTAAAAATTAATCGTGATTACTCACACATTTTTTGTTATTTATTATTAACGTCATCCCCGGTACATTACATGAAGTACGTGTACATGGTACGCGGTGTGTAGAACATTAAATGTGAAGTATTAAATATCATGCATCCGATACAATGTGGAACATGAACATGATTAGTATTAAAAAGGGTGCACGTCGGACACGTTCAACGTTTCACGCAATGGTGAAAAATTTGCCACGTGAGGATCATACGCATGACGACATCCATGTAAACGTTGACAAACCCGCATATCATCAAATAGGACGGAAACGTGCCTCGAGGGAGCCGTACGGAACATCAAATGTAAACGCCCTCAAATCTATTCCAATTCAGTTTCATTCTCGCCAGTGGAAGAACGTGTGGCAAGGTATGACACGGACATCAGCGCCTTTAAGTGCCATTCGCATCAAGTCGAGGTGGCCTGACGGCACACCAAAGGAATATGTATGTACAGTATCTCCTAATCGCTAATCAAAAAAAAAGCGTGTGGAAATACATTGCACGCCAAGGCACCACCGCAGCATTTTTACACCGCCAATGTGTGGGGAACATGTTGGAAGAATTATACGGGATGTCGTTACCAATTATTGGAATAGTTCAAATCTGATGTTCATATTCACGACTTTGTTTGAACAGAACACACACTCTCTCTCTCTCTCTCTCTCACACACACACACACACACACACACACGTAAAGTACATGTATGTACACATTATGAGATGATTTCATTTGTCGAAAGCATTTCAGCAATTACATTGAATTAAATTGTTTTGTCTTTATTTCAAAGAAAGGTTTTGAATTTTTTTTTTTAAACAACAACAAAGGCGGCAAGTAATAAGCGGAAAACAAAAGAACAGTTTCTGTCATTTGTTTTCCTTTCATAATATCGCCTTTTTAGAATTAATTGACACTAAATTTAAATCAAAACAAAAGCGCCAATGGCGCGACATCCTGACACGAAAATAAAGTCCAGAAATGAAGTTGAGCTTGTCATGCAATTCTGTCTGACTCACAACTGGCTCGCATTTTGCAGAACAAATCGCATTATAGAGAATAAAATGCCAGATTTGAAGTCATTAAATAAGTTGCAACGTGGCTG